ATGTCTAAAGAATCTTATGAGATTAAGTAGAACATTTCTTCTGTAGTTATTGATGATCTAAACTGGGTCCTCCTATAGTTAAGCAGTGCATGCAAGCTGTATATAACCAAGATCAAATAGACCTTCGAATAGGTGATCCTACTCCAAAACCACAACCAAACAAGGAACAGGTAGTAGAGCGTAGATCACCAATTTTGAGTCTATAAGATCCCAATTATATATAACCCTGGAAGCATGCACTTCGCAACTATAGACCTGCCAGTAAAGGTCTTTTAGTTCTCATTCAAGTTTGTTATAGTGCCTAAAATACTCCTATGGTATTTTATCTTTATGTTTTGTTCTATGGATACTTTTGTATATGGAGTTAGGTAAGTTTTAGACTTGTTGCAACACCACCATCACTCCCAAACACATGTTGGTCATATCTCAAATAAATATAGTTGATCAGGTTATATTTATTCCAGATATGATTACATAACTGCTTAGGTTTCACTGTAGTGTCCAACATCTAAATACTTTTGTTTGTTTTGTTCTTATCTGTTCTTATCGTGATATTTGTTCTTAGTATGTATGCTTATTAGTATACTTATCGTAAAATACTTATATTTTAGAAGTATACTTTTAGTCAGAGCACTCCGGCCCCATTGTATTTATAGTTGTATATCTTTTACTGGTTGATATACTAAGTTCACTATAAACAATGCTCTGATACCAATCTGTCACTCCCCTAAACCGAAACGGCGGAAACGTTCGGGGGCGGAGGACGTCATGTGTAGTATCACAACAACTGAATAATAGTATACAAGCAACAACAACCATTGTATTAATAGTAATATGTTTACATTGCATTTGAATCATACATTATTGACACCAAAAGTAAATAACAAGCAAGACTCGAAGCTACTATGCTCCATCTTCTTGAACCCGGTGTGTGAACCTGTCTACTAATGTCCCCGAGGATACAAGTAGGTTTTGAAAGAGTATCAGCATAAAGCTGGTGAGTTCATAAGCGTTTTGTATTGGAAAAACTGTTCTTTGATCTTTTAAAAAATGCGTTATGTTTCACCAGAAAAACCTCTTATTTTCTGATGTAGTTAAGTAAAAATGATTCTTACAAGTTCTTACTGCGAGTACTTAGTGTATACAAATTATATACAATCCAGATCGAACAAACAGTCGATTGTGTGGTTCTGCCCCAAGCCCACAACCAAACAAGGAACAGGAAAAGAGGCAGAGGCCACACATTCCACTGGTTGTCAGATCCTCATGTACATAATCCTGAAGTATTCACTAGATACTTACAAAGTTAACTGTATCTGTTGAAACTGTTTCTCAAGAAAATCCAATATTTTCTTATGTAAAGCATGATTAACCCATTCCTTCTATGACTTCTCAGTTCATACTAGTTACGTATAAACCAATATCGGATAGACAGTTAATTGTGTGGATCTGCCCTAAACCCACAATCAAACAAGCAACAGGGAATGAGGCGGAAACCACACATTCCACAGTCTATCAGATATTCTTCATATGCAACCCGGATGCATAAACTAAGGAGTCAAGGAACTTGTAATGAATATTCGTTAGTTGAATAATGAATCAACTGTTTATAAAGTACTGATGTTTACCCTGGAAAATCCTATATTTTCCCTAAGTGTAAGTCGTTGAATTATCCGTTTCAAAATCGTAGAGTACAAGTATCTACCATACTTATGTTGTTTAAGCATTGTTCTGTTTTGAAATCCTTTGCATGAAAGTTTTTGTATGGAAAACCTTTGTATGAAAACCTTTGTATGAATACCGTAGTGTGAATATCGTAGTGTGAATACCCTCATGCGATCACTTAGCACATACGAGTTATAGAAATATAGATCAGACAGACAGTCGATTAGGTGATTCCTCCCTAAGCCCACAACCAAACAAGGAACAGGAAATGAGGCGGAGATCACACATCCCACTGAAAGTTGGATGTTAATTTCATATTACCCTAGTGTATATATACTAAGTGATCACATGATTACTAACCCTAGTGTCTGTTTGTTAGGCGTATTATTATGTGAACGAGTCGTTGTTTCACCTATGGATTCTTATAACCATACTATGGACGCTCAACAATACGACGTACTCGGACGTACGTCGATAAAAATGACGTTTGTCACCCTCAGTTGACTGTAGCTAATAGTCAGGGTGCGGGATTGTCACTCCCGTATAGATCTATACACAAACTCACGCTCTCCCTCCAGGATACTCTGGTTACAAGGCGTCTCACACTGTAGTTCTCTCAATGAATTCACTAATAATACTATGAAAATCCCTTTTGTTATTATTATGAAATCTTATAAAATAATATCTTTTATTTTATAATTCATAAGTTTGTTTCCTTTGTTCTGAAAACTGAGTTTGCAATGTTTGTATCTTAACATGTTTATAAGACTGTCTGTAACTCTAGTAGTAGCTATGTTCATCAAGTTTAGTAAGTTCAATGTTCGTTGTATACTAATGATAAGAAATATAATAAAACCAAATTATATTTTAAACACAAGATTACTTGTGCTTTTACTTGTATCCCCCCCCTGAAAACATTAAAAACTCAGAACATATAGGGGTATGAACTCACAGTTGTTGTGTGAAAACGTCGAATGGAAACGAAGATCCTCGGGTTGTTGTACGTGGCACTTAACGGAATCCTATTGACAAATAAATACATATGTGTATCTAAATTAGTGATTTCTTTAGATAAATTGTTAGGAAAAACACTTGTTTTTGGTTAAGGAATGTTACCGAGACTTGATTGAATCAAGAGAACGGGTTTTTCACCACTTAGGAGGCGTGTACGGCCGTGAACAAGGGTTTACGGCCGTGAAGAGTGGTTTACGGCCGACAGGCTGTTTATGGCCATGAATAGGGTTTACGGCCTTTGAAGATTCGATGAGTGTACGACCGTAAATGGGTTTACGGCCTTTTAATATTTGAAGATATGAAATGTGTACGGCCGTAAACTCAAGAACAGTGACGTTGGATTTCGATGAAAATGCGTTCTAAATGCTCCGAAATGACTCGCAATGGTGATTCTCGATTATTTCCGGAAGAATAAAGTTGTTTTAGGTGTTTACGATCAAGAGTTGAGAGAGAGAGAAGGAGAGAGTTTTCGGCCAGAAAAGTCTAAATGAAGGGTAGGGACACGTATTTATAGGGAGTTTTCGTGGTCGGTGGTGGGGTCCACCTGGCATTGACCGCAAACGAGTTTACGGCCGTAAACAGGTTTACGGCAGGTAACTCCAGTCAGGCCGTGATCTGCTGTTTTGTTCAAAGGAAAACTCGAATTTCACGTGGTTTTGGTCCCTACTCGCATATAAAGTTCAATTATATAAGTAATTGATTTTCCAAACCAAAGGAATTTGACGAGACTCAATAAAATTCAAATTTTTGTTAACGGAAGTTGGTTAGTGGTAATGGAAAAAGTTTCGGGTGGTCACACAAACCACTAATCTTCAGTATGGTTCCATCTCTTGATCAATATCTGGACACATTATGAATGCTTGTTCAAACCCTGAACAACTATGTGTTATCAACTGCACTTTCATATTCATTTGCAGTTCTGATGGAATGACTTTCACTTGCTAATTCAACTGTTGTATTCAAAAAAACTACTAAGGTTGTCACGTTTCAGTTGTCGAATTCAAAGACCGAGAAGCTCACCCGAAAGCAATTTGCCCAAATCCTGAAGTTTCCAGTGTCAGGTACATTCTATGAAGTCTTGAATAATCATGTGCTTGATACGTTTGATGAAATGGGGCATCAACCAACTCTTACTGGAATAAGTCAGTTTAAGAAGTCTGGTCTTCCTTGTATGTGGAGTTTTTTTGGGGTTGTGCTTTGATGCTTAATAGGAAGAAGCTCTGGGCTCGACAAAACCAAGCTTGAAGTCTATTCAATCATAGCAGGATTGTATTACGGTCTGAATGTAGATTATGTTACACATCTTTGGGAGGAGTTTAGAACCTCAATTTCACACACGAATCTAACGAATGGAGTTTCGAGTTCTCAATTTTGGAGCTTGATTTTACAGTAATTTTATCGACAAGAGAATATTCTTGTTCCATTTGGTGTCGAAACTGTTGAGTTTCCGGTTATGACTGTACCTAGGGTTTTTGTGGATGATATTGTTATGTTTCCCACTGTTGCTCGCATTCCAGATGCGATGCTCAAGCTTGTGGATCCTCAAAATCAACTACTGGTATAATATTTGGATTCGATTGATTCTTCAAATCTAATTTGAGTTCTTCCACCAAAGTGGGTAGAAGGAACTTCTAAAGCTTCAAAGGCTCCCAAAAATAAGAAGCAAGTCGAAAAATCACCAACTGTGGAGGAGGAAGTTGTAAAAGAAACCATCCCATCAAAATCGGGTGTTCTTAAGCGAACTAAGAAACATGCAAAGAAACTTATTGAATCTCTAGTCAAGCTAGCTACACAAGAACCTATAGTCGAAAATGTTCACCTCAATGAATCTTCAAATCCTGCATCGTCTAAGGGAGGTCCGAAGAAGGTTCGTAAAGCTCAGTTTAACAGGAGAGGTGTTCTTTACGTGGAAAACCAATTCCTGTTTCACTAGCATTCAAGAAGCGAAGAGCAATTAATATGGCTCAAAATTTAAACAAGAAGAAGCGTGAAGTTCAAGTACCAATTGAAAATATAACTATAGAAACATACCAGAGCAATGACAGTGAACAGTCTGATATTCAAATTGAGGATTCATATCATGATTCACCTTGAAGGGATTCTCCTATCGAGTCAAATTTCAAGGAGATAGGGAATCTTGATGTCAATGTAAAGTATCTAATAAGGATACAAACATCAATTTGAGTGATCAACAAACCACCATTATCCTTGAAAAGACTATTGTCAAACCATTCAAGGTTTCGCATACCGAGTCCAATATGGAGGAGGTCGAAACTCCAGACATCACTATGGACTTATCTAATAAGGACACAAATGTCAACATGGATGAAGGGATACACAACAATGAATCAACTGTCATTTCTACCATCGAAACTTCTACAATTGACACAACAACCGTTGAAACTTCAACTATCACATCTTCAACAGCTTTACCACCACCTTCATCACCCATTCCAACTTATGTTCCTGTTTCAACGGTATCTCCAACATTTTTCGGTATCATGTAAGAATCGATTGCTGCTTTATTTTCATCTCAATCTAGGGAAAAATCACAACCAGAACCTGAAGCTGATGATGATGATGTTATGGTGTATTTTGCTGAACTTCTTTTTGATCCATAAGAGGATAATATTCCTGATGAAATGATTATGTCAGGAAGACAATTCAAGATTTTAAATTTTACAATTATTGGCTGATACAGGAAGCAAGCATTCTATCAGTGGAGTCGAAGTTGATTCGCTTCTCAAGGACCAAGAATCTCGATTGTAAACTCTTACAGATCGTGTTCACAAGCGAAATGATGAAAGGATTCGCAATCATTCTCAAACCATTATTGTTGAATTTTCTCAGCTTCGTGATGTTTTGAAAGACTGTCATGAATTTTTTGCAAAACAACTGGAGGAAACGAAAGTCTGTTTGCATACTCAGATTTCTGATATTATAAAGTTATTGGAATTTGAGGTTAAGACTTTTCTAAAAGTTCTTCAACACTCCATAAGAAGATTGATGTAGTATCTACAGCATCAACCAGCTTGATTGAATACATCTCTTTGTTCAACAAAGATTACACAGTTGGTCTACAAGACAAGGAGAAAGGGGAAGCTCAATTGTTTGCTAAGGTCGAGGAGTTCTTATCCGAAATCAAAACCATGCTCTAAGCTCAATCGACGATTTCTCCAGAATCCATCTCCCAAATGGTTTCTAACATCGAAACCAATATTAAGGCTGAACTGGATCCGATAAGGAATTTAGTACTTCGACTTCCAATAAATACTCCTTATGTAATGCATGTGTGTAACACCATTTTCTGAATAGTTTCCTAACGCGGGGTGGTGACCTGAAGATCGGATATCATTAGGCTTGGGGCCTTTGAGGAAAAAGATTTAGACCCATTTGGGTGTGGGTAATGTAATTTAGATGATCCGGGAGTTCGGTTTGTGTTTCAAAGCCAAGGGGTATATCGGTAAAATGTCAGTTTGAGCCTTTATGGAAATTAGATTTTAGTTCGGGAAGTTTTAAGGCAATTATGATTTGATAGAAGCATAGAGGTTCTTGTTACCTTTTCGTGGATATAAGGATCGTCGTAAACGGACTTATAACGAAGAAGTTATGGCCTTCGGAAGATGGTGGGTTTAAAGCTAACCCTAGTACGCGAGGCATACATAGGGAGTACGCGGGACGTACTAGGGAAAATGATCGCGACACTTGGACGAGTATGCTAAGCATAATGGATAGACGCAGGGCGTACTTCAACTTCATGCAAACCCTAATTTAGGGTCTTGGACCCTATTTAAACTATTTATCTCATCACCTAACCCTAATATCTTCAGACTCCATCCCTTTTAAACCCTAGATTCGAACCCTAAGTGCATTTTGGTGATTTTGAGCTTGGAAATAGATTTGTGGGTGTTTTGTGGTGAAAAAGAAGAAGAGGAACACTTGGAGGAGTGGCTTGATCTTATAGAGCCATGAGTATTTTCCCATTTAGAAGCTTTCTAAGGTAAAAAGCTTATACCTTGATGATCATTTTGGTTGGATCTACTTTATGGTGTTTCTTTGGCATTTTTGAGTCCCTTGAAGTAAATATGAGCTTTTGATCTACTCCAGAAGTAGTGGATGCCAGATCTAAACTCCAATAAGGTCCCTTATTCATGAAAATGGAAACTTTATGGAAGATTGTGGTCCATACAAGTATTCAGGCCCTTATTAAGTTCATTTTTAAGTGTTGAGTCCCATTAAGGCATATATGTGAGTAAAGTTGGCAACTTTATTGTTTAAGACCTTGCCTAGGGACCAGATCTATTTTTTTGACATCTTGGCTTAACCCATTAAGAGCATAATATTGATTTTGGACTTCTGCAGAGTACAATGGGCGTACGTGGAGGTATGCTCAGCGTAATGTTGGGTTATGCATCAAACATTTGTACAGCATGTTTCAAGGCTGAGTATGTGGAGCGTACGTCTCCAATACGCAGGGCGTACACTCCAGTTCAGCTATGTTGGGCCTTTTTTAGTTTGGGCCTTGTTGGGCTATTGGGCTTCTGACTTTGGGCCATGGTTAGGTCATGGTCTTTCTTGGTTTTGGTCCCATTAGGGTTTTAGGCCCAATTAGGAAGTTGGGCCATAATGGGCTTTCGGTTGCCATTTTTGGTTTTTTGTTCAATTGGGCTAGGCCTTGGTTTTGGGCCAAGTAAGAAAAGGGTAAAATGGTATTTTACCCTTTAGGAAGTTGGTTTATGGAGTGGGCCTCAGATTTTGGGTTTCAGGATAATTATTGATTAAGTTTTGTACTTATTGTTAGTTGGCGCAAGGTTATTCGGTTCAACGACCCAATCAGTCATTTGATTATCAGCGATTTGAGGTGAGTCTCCTCACTATACTCATGGGTCGAAGGCACCAATGCTAGCCCACTAGGTTCTATTATGTTAGATGTCTTTATGACTCTTGCATTTTCTCAGCTTCGTGATTTTTTGAAGACTCGGATTTCTGATATTCACAATCATTCTCAAACCATTACTGTTGAATTTTCTCAACTTCGTGATGTTTTGAAAGACTGTCATGAATTTTTTGCAAAACAACTGGAGGAAACGAAAGTCTATTTGCATACTCAGATTTCTGATATTCTAAAGTTATTGGAATTTGAGGTTAAGACTTTTCTAAAAGTTCTTCAACACTCCATAAGAAGATTGATGTAGTATCTACAGCATCAACCAGCTTGATTGAATACATCTCTTTGTTCAACAAAGATTACACAGTTGGTCTACAAGACAAGGAGAAAGGGGAAGCTCAAGTGTTTGCTAAGGTCGAGGAGTTCTTATCCGAAATCAAAACCATGCTCTAAGCTCCATCGACGATTTCTCCAGAAGCCATCTCTCAAATGGTTTCCAACATCGAAACCAATATTAAGGCTGAACTGGATCCGAAAAGGAATTTAGTACTTCGACTTCCAACATATACTCCTTATGTAATGCATGTGTGTAACACCATGTTCTGAACAGTTTCCTAATGCGGGGTGGTGACCTAAAGATCGGATATCATTAGGCTTGGGGCATTTGAAGAAAAGAGATTTAGACCCAATTGGGTGTGGGTAACGTAATTTAGATGATCCGGGAGTTCGATTTGTGTTTCAGAGCCAAGGGATATATCGGTAAAGTCTCAGTTTGAGCCTTTATGGAAATTAGATTTTAGTTCCAAAAATTTTAAGGCAAGTATGAGTTAATAGAAGCATAGAGGTTCTTGTTAACTTTTCGTGGATATAAGGATCGTCGTAAACGGAGTTATAACGAAGAAGTTATGGCCTTCGGAAGATGGTGGGGTTTAAGGCTAACCCTAGTACGCGAGGCATACATAGGGAGTATGAGGGACGTACTAGGGAAAATGATCGCGACACTTGGAGGAGTATGCTAAGCATAATGGGAGTACGTAGGGCGTACTCCAGCTTCATGCAAACCCTAATTTAGGGTCTTAGACCCTATTTAAACTATTTATCTCATCACCTAACCCTAATATCTTCAGACTCCATCCCTTTTAAACCCTAGATTCGAACCCTAAGTGCATTTTGGTGATTTTGAGCTTGGAAATAGATTTATGGGTGTTTTGTGGTGAAAAAGAAGAAGAAGAACACTTGGAGGAGTGGCTTGATCTTGTAGAGCCATGAGTATTTTCCCATTTAGAAGCTTTCTAAGGTAAAAAGCTTATACCTTGATGATCATATTGGTTGGATCTACTTTATGGTGTTTCTTTGACATTTTTGAGTCCCTTGAAGTAAATATGAGCTTTTGATCTACTCCAGAAGTAGTGGATACCAGATCTAAACTCCAATAAGGTCCCTTGTTCATGAAAATGGAAACTTTATGGAAGATTGTGGTCCATACAAGTATTCAGGCCCTTATTAAGTTCATTTTTAAGTGTTGAGTCCCATTAAGGCATATATGTGAGTAAAGTTGGCAACTTTATTGTTTAAGACATGGCCTAGGGACCAGATCTATTTTTTTTTGACATCTTGGCTTAACCCATTAACAGCATAATGTTGATTTTGGACTTCTGAAGAGTACAATGGGCGTACGTGGAGATATGCTCAGCATAATGTTGGGTTATGCATCAAACATTTGTACAACATGTTTCAAGGCTGAGTATGTGGGGCGTACGTCTTGAGTACGCAGGGCGTACACTCGAGTTCAGCTATGGTTGGCCTTTTTCAGTTTGGGCCTTGTTGGGCTATTGGGCTTCTGACTTTGGGCCATGGTTAGGTCATGGTCTTTCTTGGTTTTGGTCCCATTAGGGTTTTAGTCCTAATTAGGAAGTTGGTCCATAATGGGCTTTGGGTTGCCATTTTAGGTTTTCTGTGCAATTGGGCTAGGCCTTGGTTTTGGGCCAAGTAAGAAAAGGGTAAAATGGTATTTTACCCTTTAGGAAGTTGGTTTATGGAGTGGGCCTCAGATTTTGGGTTTCAGGATAATTATTGATTAAGTTTTGTACTTATTGTTAGTTGGCGCAAGGTTATTCGGTTCAACGACCCAATCAGTCATTTGATTATCAGCGATTTGAGGTGAGTCTCCTCACTGTACTCATGGGTCAAAGGCACCAATGCCAGCCCACTAGGTTCTATTATGTTAGATGTCTTTATGACTCTTGCATGGTATGTTGGGCTAGGCCCTTTTGTATGTTGGGCTAGGCCCATTGTATGACGGGCTAGGCCTATTTGAATGATGGGATAGGCCCATTGTTTGTTTTGTAGGTGCTAACTGTCTTTGTGACTTTTGCATTTGTATGATCGGGCTGAGCCCAATGGTTTGGCAGGGCTAAGCCCATTATGGTGGGTTGGGCCTAATGTGCGGGTTGGGCCCAATGTAAGGGCTTGGCCGAATGGTATGTATGGTATGTGGTATCTTGGGGAACTCACTAAGCTTTGTGCTTACGGTTTTTATGGTTATTGTTTCAGGTATTTCCGGTTAAAAATGGAAGGGCACGGTTTGATCGCAGCACATCCACCCATGTTTCCACATTATGATGATTTTGGGATTGTACTCTGATAACTGTTTTGTTATAAAGTACTTTTGAATATTTGGAAAAAGGATATTGAATGTTGACTTAAAGATCATTAATGTTTTGGTTGAATTAAAAATGAAATTTTTACCTTATAATTTTCGGGAAGTTACAAGTCGGTATTAGAGCCTTGGTTTGAGGGATTCAAGCACACTCTCGTGTATGTCTAAACTTAAACTAAGGAATTGATAATCTTTTGAAAGAAAATAAGTTTCTAAAAAGATTTTGTAAAAACGAGTAAATTTGTAAAAGGATTTTATAAAGACAAAAGGGGTGGTGCGTGCAATCAGCCGAGCTCAAGTAAGTGATTCCTAGAATACC